TGCTATATAATAAACACACCAAACAATATGCCAAATTCTTGGGCTATGTAAAGGCTATAATGAAATATTAGAAATTAAATAATTTGACTAGAGGTAGGCAGTTATGCTGCATCTCGTGTTAAATTTAATAATTATAAATAAATAATTATTAATTTAGACATTTTTGAAATTTAATTTGGAATTGGTCATTAAATTTAATACAAGATGGCAGCTTAACTACCTCTAGTCAAATTAATTAATTTTTAATATTTAATTATAGCCTTGCTTTGTTATTCTTAGAGAAGAAATGGCATTTCTTATCTCTTTGAATGTGAATAATCTGCAATTATCATAGTATTGTCTTGTTGCAAAATTCTCTTCAAGCTTTCATTCTGGTAACATTTATACTCTTTTTATACTCCTTAAGTAATTTTTGTACTTATCACAAATTTTTTGCTTGGTTTCCTTGTCTAACATCCTTAGATACCGCTTTCTTGTTTTGTTAATTATTTTTTTTTGTTTTTCTAGTTCATTGTCCACCAATGGTATTTTCCTTTTGTTTGCAGCAAAATGCAGGCTTGGTTGCCTGCATTTTGGATGTCTTTAGTCATGTGTTCAACAAAGATATCAATGTCTTGTTTTGTATTAATATGTGGAAAGTCATGATTTATCCAGTTTTTATTAAATTAGTAACAAAAGAGGTCCCAGTTTGTCTGTTTTATGCTTACCTGGGCATTCTTATTGATGATATTTGTATGTTTTATTTGTGTAAAGATAAACCTACGGTCACATGTCGAAGTACATAATAACGTTTTGCAATTCTCTACTATTTGCACCAGTTCTGTTGACACCAGACAAACATCTGTCCAGCCTCTAGCATGTGGTGTGAAAAAGTCTGATGGTCATTAACCGAGACTAAACCAAACTCTTCCATCGAGTTAGTTACCAGCCGGCCCCTGTTATTCTCCTGTACATTAAACCAAACTCTGATTTGGCGTTTAAATCTCCAGCAACAATCACATTTCACTATCCACTTTTCTTAGTACCTTCTCAAGTTTATTAACACCCTTCTCATTGTTTATATTTGGTGATAGGTAGGCATTTATTACATATATAAGGGGATTCTGATGTATAATGGCGGTTGTAATTATCTTGGAAGAAAGGAGTAGAATAAGTGCTACATCTATCTGATTATTGTTCATCCCTATACAGCTTTTTGGAGTACTGCCATTATTTTTATAAAGGATTTGTCAATTTCCAAGCCTCACTATTGAGTTTTTCACTGTATATGGCTCTTGAATTAAAATTGAATCAGCTTTAAGTTTGTTAGCTTTATACATCATTAAAGAACTTGAAGCTTTTCCTCTTTGTGCATTAATATGTAAAATATTAAGGCCTACATCAGAATTGTTGTGATGGTCTTTATCTTGCCTATTATGATTTATGTTAGTTGGAGTGTTATTTAGAGTTTGATTACAATCCATAATCAATTCTGTCAATCATTTGAATCTTTAACTTTACTAATATCGGACATTGGCTGCTGAGTGTGTTGTGATTTGTTGACCTTTTTCTATCTGGTGATAGGTTTCTATTAGCTTTTTTGCAATTTGTGCAAAATGGTAATTGACAATCCTTATGTCGGTGGCCCTTAGAACAATGACTGCATTTTTGTTCTTATCTGCAGTCACGTGCAAGGTGGTTGAATTTACAACATTGATAGCATCGCATGACTGGTATAAAATCATCAACACATATATTGGTCCACGACATTGAAATATGCCGATGAGCTATTAAGATATTACAGATTTTTGGTGTTACTGATAAAACAGCATGTCAACAATTTTCCTTTTCTTTTCCTCTCCTTAATATTGTACTAATTTTGCTTGCATCTCTGACACTGTTGCTGTCCATTCCTTCCATATGTTGTTCTGTTTTATCATTACTTCTATAATTTCCTTATAAGTTAAATTTAAAATTAATACGTTAAAAATTAATAACTTTATGGTCTAACATTAGACTATGTACAAGGTAGTTTATAATTAAGTTGCCTTACTTAGACCTGTATAGAGCTCGTTCTCATTGACGTATTTTGATGAAACTTGGTATATACGTTATATGGACGATGGGGAAAATGAAAATGCAAAAAAAAATATTTAGTTCAAATTTCTACTACTAGGTGAAAAAATGGCACGCGAAAAACAAGAAACACAAAATGGAAATACGCAAAAAGTTTTTATTCACAACATTTGTTCAATGTGCAATCCATTTGCATCAATTGTGTATTCAAAACACCTTACAGCTTGTTCAACAGTAGTCCGATAGATTTGTCAAGGAATTGCAGCAACATGGCATGTTATGCTTGTTTTCAATTCAGGCAGAGTCCATATGCTTCCTCTATAGACACAGTCTTTCAGATATCCCAACAACTGTAAGTCATAGGGATTCAAGTCTGGAGAATGAGAAGGCCAGGCATTTGGAAAACTCGAAATTACCCAATCATCTTCAAATTTGTCATGAAGCAGTTCATTCACTTGTCAGGTAATATTTAGTGTTGCCTCATCTTGCATTAAGACATTAGTCTCTAAACATCCTCATTCTTGTAAAGCAGGAATGACGTGATGCAGCAGAAGTTTGCAGTAACTGGCACATGACACAGAACACCTTTTAGGGTCTTGTGGTGTGATCTCCTCAAAGAAAAATGAGCCAAAAATGAAGTCAGAAGTGAAACCACACTAAATGGTCATGTAAGCAGTGTTCAAAGGCTGTTCATGCACAACATCAGGTCTTACAGTATCCTATATGCAACAGTTCTGAGTATTCACTACTCCATGTAGGGTGAAATGCACCTCGTCTGACCACAAAATGTTTCATGGCCATGCATTGTGAATGGCTATTCTGGCCAGAAACTGGTAAACAAACTCTGTGCACTGTTCTGGATCTTAAGGGTAGCTTTTGCAACATGTGGATCTTGTATGGAAACCACTGTAAAATGGATTGCATAATTCAAACTTATAGACCAAGGAAGAGACAAATCACATGACACCACTTGAGCACTCACCGAAGAATGTTTGCTCTGTCAATCACAGCAATGGCGACTTACTCCACAGTTTCATTTGAAATCCTTTTCCAACCTCTTCCTGGCAATACACCCAACTCTCTAGTCTCTTCAAATTTGTTAATCATTTTCCTCAAGCCATACCCCAATATAGGCCCTATTCACAAGCCTTTCAAGCATCAATATTATCGCAGTGCAGCCGAACCATTACTGCCATTCTGATAAAACAACTTTACCAGTAAAGCACAATCTTTCTTCTGTAAAGGCATGATAAAGAATAGCATCAACTACTGGCTTTTTAAAAGGTTTCTAATTTGCATAACATCTATTGCATGCACCATTTTTTCACCTAGTGGTAGAAATTTAAACTAAATTTTTTTTTTGCATTTTCTTTTTCCCTTGGTCTATATAATGTATATACCAAGTTTCATCAAAATATCTCAAAGAAATGAGCTCTATCAGGTCTGAGTAGAGCAACTTTAATTATAACCACCCTGTATTTGTTAAACTACAAAACTGCATTTTGAATGTTTGAACAGTAGTGTTTTGTTTTTTTCTTTTTTCATTAAAGATATTTAATGAAAGATGAAATCAGTTGTTAATCAAAAGATATCTGCTTATACATATGAAACAAATACATATGAAATCACTTCTGAATTCTTGTATGCTTTCTTGTCATATAATATAGGAATTTTTTAATGGAAGTATTACACTTGAAAACTGATAAAGTAAGGAAAGTTTCTGAAGAAATGCTGGAATTTCAAGATAGATTTATAAGCAAATCTGAAAGTCACTACCATGTATTAGAATATATATATAGAAAGGTGGATCAATAAATAATCAGTCAAAACAACAAGGATATTGCTCTGGCTGGTTATTTTTTGATCTGCCCTTATATTTATATATTAAAATACAAATGGCACAAAATGGTTGTTTTCTTAATTAATAAAACTTTTTATTTTGTTAAATTATTTATAAAATAAAATAATTGCTTTATTTTCTAATAGGAATTTAGTCCAGTTGGTGAAGATGAAAAATCAGATTTGTCTGAAGCTGAATCAACTGAAAATGATATGCTTGCTGCTTGCATCAATTCTGGAATGCCAAATAATAGTAGTTACCATAATGGACATAACAACAGTAAATTGAGATCTAAATTAAATAATCTTGGCAATATTTCTAGACAATTAAGAACAAGCAACTTGCCATCGAAATCTAACAATGTTAAACTTAATCAGCCTGTTTTGAATATTAGTAAACCTATAATTTATTCTAATATTCCTACTGCAAATTCAAATTTGAATCTTCATGCAGGCAGCTTTGGTGACGATAGTTTAAAAATATACAAAACAGAAGATACTCCATCCAATTTATCACATGCCACATCTTTAAGTGATTTAAGTAATGTTTCTTGTACAGAAAGTAATAGAGATGTAGAGGTTTCAAAATCAAATCGTGATACATGTTCTGATAGCAGTTCACTTTGTGATGAAAATGATAATCTTCTCTTGCAATGTATTCAATCAGGAATGCCTCAGTCAAAAAAGAAATCAAAAGAAATTGACCATTGTGGAAGAAGTTCAGTACCAGATGTTCCATTTAAATCAAAATTACCATTTTTGAACTACAGGAAACAATCTGATCCAAATTCTTTAAAACAGAATGTTTTGAATTCGCCTACAGAATTTAAATCAAATACTTTTGCACATCATAAAACATTTGCAAATCAGAAATCTGTAATGAACAATTGCTGCTTACTAAATCAAACTTGGAAAAATAATAATGATGAAAAACATGCAAAATCATCTCAAACCAGAATTCATCAAAGGTCACATTCTGTTACATCAGTTCAGTCATTATCAAATCAAGGAGACACTTGTACTTTTAATTCTCTCTCACAATCAGATTCTCCAAAAGTTTATGAAGTTGAAGGAACACCTGTTAATTTTTCTTGTAATGATTCTTTAAGTTCTCTTAGCTGTGAAGAAGAGAGTGATGTAAAGAAAGAGCACAAATTTAAAAGAAAAAATTTAGATTATTGTAGTAGTAAGTATTAAATATTTTTAATAATTTTTGTATAGACTAGATATAACCTAAGTGCAATCTTTGTTTTAATTAAATCATTTAAAATTTCCATGAAAATATAGATGGTCTCAAAATCTTCCTCATGATTATTATACAATATTATATAAGATATTTCATTTAAATAATGACAATAAATTTCTAATAAAAGTCAATTGAATTTATTTTATTTTATTTGTATTGTAATTTATAAGAACTTTTTGTATACCAGTGATTTTTCTATTTATTATTATGTAGTTCTGGAAAACATGAAAGATAGTACAGCTGTCCCTTGATAATCCGACAGGTATGGGACCAAAGGGGTGTCGGATTACCGAAAGTGATTACATATTTGGCATTGTTTTGCTAGCAATAGCCTACAATATTCGCTACTCCAATTGTTCAAACAGAACTGCTCACGGAAAACACACGAAATGTGTGTCATTGTGTAAGAATTGGTTGGGGAGATTCATGTCGCGACATGCTTCTGTGAAAGCAGACACGTAACGGGGATGAGAGGTGCATCAGACTACTGAGCATGTTGGATTACAAAACATTGGACTATGAAGGGACAGCTGTATTGGATAATTATCAAAAGATAATTATCCAATACAGCTGTCCCTTCATAGTCCAATGTTTTGTAATCCAATATGGAAATAAGCAGTTCAGTTAGTTAATTAAAAATTAACTAACTGAACTGCTTATTTCCATTTAGAAATGTCAAGGATATTTTTGAAATGAGCTGTATATTTGTTGTTTGTTAATATGTATATGTATATTGTGTGTTTGCATGCATATAAAATGTCAAATTTCCTGATTTTTTTATCTGTACTAATCATAAATTATATTTGGTTTTAAACATCCCTTTTTAAAAATTTTCTTTGAAGTATTTCTTATATGGACAGTAAGTTGACTACACAATTTCATCCCCTGTTTTTTGGTCAAATATTGATATTATTTTAAAAAATTTAATTTCAAATTTTAAAGTATTTCCTATAATCAAGTGTTTTTGAAATTATTTAACTATTTGATATATGAAACTTAGTACAAACAAATACAGACATTGTGAGAGTTTTTCTACAAAAGAAACATCACAGTTACATAAAGCAGTAAATCTAGCAGACTCAAATAAAGTTCCATTAAACTTACATTCATATCATATAGACATGACACAACATATAAAAAGCATAGGCACCATCAAGCATTCGTGGGCTCAAAAGGCACTCCACAGAAGGCATCCTTATGACCTGGCCCAGGATTTTGTTGACAAAACTGCGTCAAACAGCTGGTTAGATCGGGGAGGCCTCTTTGGAGAGATGGAAGGGTTTATGATTGCCATACAGGATATAAATACTAAAAACTATAGAAAACACATACTGAAAGATACAACACTCACAAATGACACATACAGAAAATGTCACATCATGCCAGAAACTATGCAGTACATCACTTCTGGTTGCAAGCTCTTGGCAAAGACAGATTATTTACATTTATTTATTTATTTTATTATGCATACTGGATACACTCCTTGATGCAGGGAGCAAAACCATCTCCCAAAGAACAACACTTAGATACAATGAACATAAGATCACAAACAGATTATACAATAATAAATTAAATAAATAACAATTTAGATATAAATTAAATATTTAAAAATCAAATTCAATAATTAGTTAAAGATTAAAGTTAAAGTTTGGGAGCATCTGTCAATAAAACAAAAAAAACCTATAAATAATAATAAAACAACCAAAAAACCAAAAATAAGCAAATTGCTTACCTATAAGAAAGAAATAAGTTAATAACGAAGATACAGCAGTGACAGATGCTCCCAAACAACACCAGCAACAAGGCTAAATTTATAGTAGAGGAATCACACCCCCTAAAACAAAAGATCAATAGATTTTCTTAGAAAACAAAACACTTTAAATTGATAACATGGTACCGATATAATTTTAAGAAATAAAGACCTGGTAAGAACTTCACAACTGAAAATTTCTGCACGTAGCACTTTATGACGCCCACATTTAGCCAAAATTTGTCAGGCATCCACAATTTCTTTCTCAACACAAAAGTGACATTTAAATCCTTATATCAACAATTATATATGCTATTATTTATTTTTTCATTAATATTATATAAAAAATTATCAAAAATGTTAACAAGGAGAAGAGACCAGTCCATTAAATTCAAATTATCATTAATAAGATTAATACCATGATTATTACATGTATCAATAAAATGACGTGTCCAGTCTATAGACTTTTTACCAAGTATAAATTTCAAGCAAACCTTACTCAGACGATAATCATCAAGGTTAGAAATTCTAGTAATCCAATTTCTTATCCTACTAAATATTATAAATTTTATAGGAGTCAAGGCACATTACATCATAATTAAGTACCCTGGTGTACAACGCGGTAAATAAAATAAGTTTTTAATGAATTCAGTCTGTATACCATTGCCTTTGGACAAATTAAAACCCCAAATCTCTGAAGCATATAACAAAGAGGGCAACACCACAGTTTTCATTAAACGTAAATAATCAGTCAGATTACGTAATTTGGCAGACCTCCCTAACTGAATAATTTTATTCATCAATAATCTAGTATGAGTTCTCTTATTAATGTAATGCATACGGAATAAACCATTAGACAAAAATGTAACACCCAAATATTTATAATTAGAGACAACTTGAATTCGAGAACCCTTAAACCACCATTTATCCACCCTCGCACTCTTACCTCCTCTTTGAAAAACAACAATCTTAGACTTATTCGGATTCAATTTCAAACCATTTTCATCTAAATAAACTGCCAATTTATCAATCAATCTTTGAAGTCCAACCATAGAATCAGATAAAATTACAATATCATCTGCATAAGCCAATATTTTAATCTGAAAACCACTTATTTCTGTACCATCTTCAGAAGAATTAATAATTCCAAAGAGATCATTCAAAAAATTACTAAACAAAATTGGGCTCAAAATGCAGCCCTGCTTAACGCCAGTCTCAGAGAACATTAACGGCGAACAGTTACCTCCAACTCTTACCATAAGCAAGGAGTTTTCATACAGAGCAACGAGTAAAGACACAAATTTATAACTAAAACCATAACACAACATCTTTAACCACAGCAAATTCCTACAAACTATCAAAGGCAGAAGATAAATCAACAAAAAAATGCATACACTTTCCTATGTTTCCGTAAAAAAGTTTTCTGAATAATCGTGTACAAAACAAAAATATTATCCAATGTAGAATAATTAGCCCGAAATTCTGCCTGATTTTCATGCAATATATTTTTAACTTCTAACTATCCAGTCAGTCTTTTATACAAAATAGTACAAAACAATTTAGAAACACATGATGATAGCCAGATGCCTCTATAATTACCAGGAACATCCTTCCTACCATTCTTAAAAATCAGAATTAAAATACTCATCTTCCAAGACTCTGGTATTATCCCAGTATCAAAAATTTTTGAGAAAAGACTCAAAAGATTTGGTATCAGTGTCTCAAAATTCCAGAATTTCATTGGGATCCCGTCAGAATCTGGGGCTTTATTTGGTTTATACCTCCTCAGAGCAAAGTTAAGCTCACTTATAGAAAATTTATGGTCCAAAAGTTTATCATACCAATTCCTACAATAATTAAAAATCGAAATATCTGCAAAATAAAGGTCCAAGGAACCAAATAAATTGAAAAAATGATGAAACCAATCATCAATAGGAATAAAGCTGAAATTACAAGACTTAGCCTGCTTAACATGTTGAAAATAGTTTCAAAAAGTCTGTTATCTTTCCTAAAACAATTCTGAATTTTACCAGCAAATAATTTTTTTTTTTCGCAATGCACAACTGCTTCGCTAAACTTCGTAACATAACAAAATGCAAACAATCATTAGAATCATTACTCTTCCTAAAACATCTCTAGGCTCTATTCCTATCACTAATTAACATCCTACAGTCCAAATAGAACCACGAAAAAGAATTCTTATAAATATGTCTCCTGATATTAAATCCACACTTACAGGCCAAACTGAAAAGACAATTACTCAAGTCTTCCATTGAATCAAACTTATTCGTGGTACATATTTCCTCCATAGCCAACCTTAATTCATCCTTTCTAGATTCGTCCCAAAATAACTTATTAATCCTCTGCCTCTTTTCTAAAGAGACCGATCTTTTATTGCCACATGCCAGTCGTAAAATCAAAGGGTTGTGATCGGAATCCAAAAATTGATCCATTGTAAGACAGAGAACATCTTTCCAAACTAACGGAGAAACTATGACCAAATCAATAACAGAACAACCACGATTAGAAATAAAAGAATATTCACCCGCTTCATCACCTAAACATCTCCCATTAACAATAATCATATTTAAATCATCACATAAATGAAGCAACTTTCTACCACAAGAATCAATCACCAAGTCTTTCGAATTCCTACGCAAAGGACAAACAATACCAAAAGAATTGCAAAATGCATCAGAAATTATATTTTCCAATCCAATTCTAGGATTAAAATTGCCGGTAGTTAATACGTTCCTATTATCTAATATTAAACCAGTTAAAGTATCAAAAATAGACTGCCAGTCATTTTCCCTAAAATAAACAAAACATACCAAAATATTACCAAGTTCAGCACCAAATTTAACAAGTATTAGAAAAGCATCTTGATAAACAACAACACAGGGAAAAGAGGATCTTATTGCTAATAACCAGCCTGCACAGTAACGACCTTTCATGTGTAACTTAAAAGCCTTTCCAAAGTGGAGATTGTAACCTTGCAAACAATCAGTTACATCCGAATTTCTATTAGTAGAAGCATACCAGGTTTCAGAAAGAAATACAATATCATATTGCAATAAATACTTCCAAAAAAACTCAGGTTTATTAAATAAACCGGCACAATTCCAAATCAAAAATGAAGTACCCCTATCCGGTAGTTGCTAGGATGAAACAGGCTTAACCTGGTCACAAT